ACAGATACACCCCAGATGACAGACAAAACCTATTCTCCTGGAGATCCAGGGAAATGGGTGAATGATAATTATCTGGAGATAAAGAAGATCAATATTGATTAAGTGTTGATGGTGCATCAGGCATTAAGCATACCTTAGGCCGTTTATTTTAAATAGGGATAAAAACTCTACTAGTCAATTGGACGTTTATATGTAAAAAGTGAACTTTGAACAATACTTCACATCATGTACAAAAATTAACTCAAAATGGATAATAGACCTAAATATAATTTCCAAAGCATTTAAACTTCTAGAAGTTTGTGACTTTTGATTAGGAAAAGATATCTTAGATCAGATGCAACATGGTAAGCCATTAAAAAAAAAGATAAATTAGACTTCACAAAAACTCAGAAGTTTTATTCTTCAAAACAAATTGTAAGGAAAATAGAGAAACCACATATCCAGAGAAAATATTTGCAAAACACATGCTGCTAAAGGATTTGTGTCCAGAATAGATAAAGAACTCTCATTACTGAATAATAAGAAAACAACTAAAACATGAGCAAAAGATTTAAACAGACACTTGACTAAAAAAGATATATGGATGGCAAATAAGATGTTCAACATCGTTAATCATTGGGAAAATGCAAATTAAACCACATGAGGTGGCACTACACATCTATTAGAATGGCTTTTAAAAAATCAACTGGCAATAATACATGCTGACAAAAATGTGGAGCATCTAGGACTCTCATTCATGGCTCGTAGGAATGGAAAATAATACTGCTACCACAGAAAACAGTTTGGCAGTTTATTATAAAGTTATATATACACTTACTATTTAATCATAAATCCCACTACCAGATATTTACCCAAGGGAAAAATGAAAACATAAGTCCACATAAAGTCCTGTGGACCTAAACTGAAAACAACTCAGATGACCATCAACTGGTGAATAGAATTTAAGAATATATGTGATGTATTCATACAACAGAATCCTACTCAGCGACACCAAAGAATAAACCACTTACATATGCAACAGCATGGATAAATCTAAAAGCATTCTGCTAAGTGAAAGGAAGTCTTCTCAAAGGCTATATCTTGTATGTTTCTATTTATATGGTATTTTGGAAAAGGCAAAGCTACAGGATCAGATATCAGAAAAGCAGCTGCCTGAGGCTAAGTTGGAGGGTGGAGATTGACTACACAGGGGTATAAGGGAACTTGTGAGGATGATGGAAATATCCTGTATCTTGATGATGGTTACAACACTGTACAAGTTTGTCAAAACATACAGACAGCCCATTTAAAAGGGATGAATTTTTCCATATGTAAGTTATACATGATGTTAACAATATGTAAAGAAATAAATAAAAGCTAAACAGACCCCTCCAAGGTAGTTACTACAATCTCTGCTTTACTGGCAGAGTAAGGGAACGGAGAATGTGAGGGTGGCTCTGGGTTTCCCTGCACCGCACTGTCTGCAGCCCCTCCTAGATTTAATATCCCTGGTACTAAAGTCAACACCCAAAGTTCAGATCCAATTGTTTCTTCAGTTGATTAGCCTGTGCCATCTTCCTGTTGCTCACAACATCAGATTCTTTGGCATGACCTTTAAGTTTCTTATTTATCTGGCCCCCACCACTCTTCCAGGCTCCCTCTGTGATCCTTCTCCCCATCACTCAGGAGCCTTCTGTGTGTTGAAGGCCTTGAGCCTTCCCAAATACGCCGCCCCGCACTTGTATGTGTCCTTAATGTCATTCATGCTTCACCTTCTGCCCAGAATACCATTCCC